CCTTGAGTTTTTCAAACTATCCAAACTTTTAACCATATCAAAGAATAAGCATAATGTAATGTAAGATCTGACAAACCCAGACAATTTCTTCTTTAGCATCCTGTGAAAGCTTATATTTAATTGTTGGTTTTTTATTTTGCCAAATAAATTTAGATATATCTTTCTCTCATTGTTTAAAAGAGGAATCTTTAATCAATATTGGTATAGTCTGGAATAGAAATAACATTCTAGATCAGTGGTGGCAAACCTTTTAGAGACCGAGTGCCCAAACTGCAACCCAAAACCCATCTATGTATCGCTGGGTGCCGAGTGAGCATGGCCCACTGGGTCGGTGTGGCTACAGTGGTCATGGCAGACTGGGTGGGCGCTGCCAGGGTGGCTGTGGCCAGCTCGGCATCTGTGGCAGAAGAGTGCAGGCAGGTAGCCGCCGTGGTTCCGCTTGCCTGTCAGGGTGGGGGTGCATTCGCGCACAGGTACTCGGGCTGCTGCCTCACGTGCCATGCCGGGGCTGGATTGGGTGCGGAGCCTCCACGCTGCTTCTCCTACGGACATTGGGAGCACCCACCCCACCTACCCCTCATTCCGGGGCGGCTGCTGCCGTCCCGTGCTCTCCAGTCCGTTGCTGGTCAGCCGGGCACGCCGAGCTCGGGCCTTGGGCAGATGGAGGCCGGAGGGCAGTGAGAGTCGCAGCTACCTGGCTCCTCCGCCTGAGTACGCGTGCGGGAAGAGGCGCTGCCCAGCTTGGTAAGCAGCGGTCCGCCCAAAGAAGGAGGAGGAGGAGGAGGAGGGGTGGCCGGGGAGAGGTGCAGTGCTGCCTACGGGGGGGGGGAATCTGACCAGCCCAACCTGGAGGGGGGAGAGGCCGAGGGAGCCCAAAGGGAGGCAGGCGTGGTGTTCGGGGGTAGTCGTTCTTCCCCCTGTGCTCCCGCAGAAGGGCTGTCTGGCTTCGGCATCACCTGGGCAGGCCTGGCTGCTCATCTGCCCAGCAGCGCTGGCAAGCCCGGCCTTCCTTCCTTCCTTCCTTCCTTCCTTCCTTCCTTCCTTCCTTCCTTCCTTCCTTCCTTCTCCCTCCCTCCCTCCCTCCCTCCCCCCCCTCTCTCTAGATCTCTACACCCCTTCAGAGAGGTAGGACCTTTTAAGTTGATTTGCCCCCGGCAACTAATAAACCCAAATGGATTTCAGAAGGAAGAGGGGTTAACTGAAGATCTGCGTATTCCTCCCAAGCTCCTTGTCATCGCTTAGAATAGGAAGGTGTCTGAGGGTCGGAATAGGATAGCTCCCATGCAGCCTCCTAATCTGTAGATTTCTTCACCTTTCATAATATACAAAGATATTGAGAGTGATGAAAGGGATAAAGAGATATCTAGAGCGCTGCTGGCAAAAGACAGGATAAACTCAAATATTGATAAAAGCTGCTACTAAAGCTTATGTCATGGCGATTTGGAAGTACTTCACACTAATTGCATCTGCATATAATTGGCCCACAGCCCTCTTTAAGGTGAACCATCTCCTAAGGAAGGAGGATACAGAAGTCTATCTGAGGGGAAATGCTGAGGAATTCACTGTTTTTTCTGGAATACAAAATTGCTGAGATTCACCCCCAGTTAGATGCCAGTATGGTTGCTGGTCTGGTGCAGGTACCTACGGTGGGGTTTTGTACAGCTATCTGGGAATAGTTTGACTCTGTTGCTCCTGAGGAAGTAAACAAATTCTAAAGAATATGAGCATAAGCACCTATGTTTTAGGTCTATGCCCCTCTTGGCTTGCAAAAGCTTCCAGGGAGTAACATGGGGATGGATTCTAGAGATGATTAATGCTTCCCTGTAGGAAACGTTGGTGCCCCACTATTTTAAGAAACTGGGGTCTGCCCTGTTCTTAAAAACCAATCACTAGACTCCACCATATTGGATAATTTTCGACCTGTTTCCAAACTTCTCTTTCCGGGGACGGTGGTTGAGAATGTGGTTGTGTGGCAGTTCCAGAGGTTCCTGGATGAAATGCATTATCTAGACCGTTTCCATTTAGGGTTCAGGCCTGTATATAGAATGGAAATGGCCATACTTCTCCATGGTGTCTCCCACCCCATGGAACATTATCCCCATGGAGATAAGATTGGCCCCCACTTCAAAACACTTTTGCAAGGTCCTAAAAACCTAGTTTCATTAATGGGTCTGCAGGCTCCAGAGTGGGATGGAGCCCACCAAGTGCCTTACTTGATTGCTGTCATCAGGACGGATGAGAGATAATTGGTTTTTAAATAAGCATGTCCTCTCTGCATTCTAATTCTTCTTCAGGATTCTGTTGGACTGCAGAAATATTGGAAGGTTTATTTTACAAATATAGATATAAATCACTGAGGAAAACAGATCTATGTATTTCCCTGGTACTCGACCTGGATTGATTTTGGGTCAGATCTTGAATTATAACTTTGTTTCATTATATAGATAGTCCTCGACTTACAACAGTTCACACAGGTAATTGTTCAAAGTTCCAATGGAACTGAAAAAGGTGACCTATCACCATTTTTCACATTTATGACCATTGCAGCATCCACATGATTACATAATTTATATTTGGATGTTTGACAACTGACTCACATTTATGATGATTGCAGTGTCCCAGAGTCATGTGATCACTTTTTGCAACCTTCTGACAAACAAAGTCAATGGGGAAACCAGGTTCATTTAACAACCGTGTTATTAATTTAACAATTACAGTGATTCACTTAACAAATGTGTCAAGAAAAGTCATAAAATGGGGCAAAATTCACTAAACAAATTTCTCAACAGCATAATTTTTGGGCTCAGTTGTGGTCATAAGTTGAGATCTATCTATAATATGTGCATTTGACTTCACCCTGACACCCCCATGCATACAAATTCTATGGTTGTACGAGAATAATTTTATAATACCTATAAGGGGCAAGCTTTTGTTCATGAACAGTCATTCACTTTTCTTAGTATCCCTGAAAAGTTTTATCAATAGCCAACGTCTTATTTTTGGGAGGATGTCTTTTTCGTGGTCTAACTTCGTGACAACCCCGCCCAGCTGGCCCACTTCTGCAGCCAAAGGAAATGCCTCTGCAGCTGAGAATGGAGCTCCGGATTGATGCACGTAGCACACCCTGGCCTGCATTTCGCCATCAGAGGCCTTCCGGAAAGGCCTCTGCAGCAGAGAACCGAGCTATGGATTGAATCTGTAGCTTGGTTCTCAGCTGCAGAGGCCTTTCCAGAAGGTCTCTGATGGCAAAATACAGGCCGGGGGAGGGCACTACAGGTGGGCCAGCGAGGCGAGCCAAGTATCGATTTATGGGAGGCCTGGCTGCAACAGTAAGGTAAGCGAGTACGCATGGGGCAGCTCTACCCCCCACCCTTGCCATAGCTTGATTTTTAGGTGTGCCAAAACTAGAAGTGTGTCCCAAAACTAGAGTTTATTTTGGGGGTAGGGTTTATATTAGGCCCATCCCCCAAAATCAAGCTAGGACTTATTTTGGGGGGAGGTACCAGGTACTCAGTACTTATTTTTTTTTAAAAAAAAAAACGAAACAAGATGATTCACTGGCTTTTACCTTAGCTAAGAAAAAAAGTCAGTAAGATCTAAATTAGCATGTTTAGATTTTAATCACCATTGAGAATTGGATCTGTTTAGTGATCCATTATCTATACTTCAATATGTGGGACATTATATTTATGTTTATTTCTTTTCATCCTTGGAATAGTTATAGTCAGACTCTTGAGAACTATCCTACTACAAATTATTTCACCAATTCATTCCAATATGATTTTTTAGTTATTTATTTAAATAGTTCTTTTATCTGACTAAGCTTGTGTATAATATTGTCCCCAAAATCCTTGTCATATTTTATTTTCTAATATGAAGATAAGGTCCCTCTCCTAAATAAATATTTATGAATTAGGATGGAATCATTAAAACTGAAAATAAAAAAAGCAATCAAACATAACTATAGGAACACCCACATACCCTGGAAGATTGGTAATGACTTGGGAAAAGACTTTAAAAAAATGGAATAGATAAAGTAGGTTTGCTTTTATTTTCTCATCTAATTACTATCCATTCTCATCACCTCATCTCCATCTCTTCTTCCTGTGAAGCAAATCTTTTCTCCTCATGTCCTCATGACTTTTCCCTCTTTTGCATTGGTACAACTATATGTACTTCTTAATGTTCCACCTATGGTATGACTGTGTAACATCTTTAGCCAAGTGGAGCACTCTAGTCCCTTCCTTTACCCTGGTTACTGGCATCATTAAATCAGTGTGTTCTGATCAGTTGCTCTTTGATGCACATTTTTCTTGTAAATATACTTTAAAGAAGGAGATGAATACTGTATTTTCTTCATTTTCATATATCATTTTTTGCTGTTTAAAGTCTTATTCTTCCTATTGTCTCTTAGTATTTTATAGCGTCTACAACTCCTTTGAGCTGTTTTATGCATTTCTTTGAAACTGAGCATTGATTTCAGAATCTTTTAGCTTTTCATTCAAGAAGCTTCATCATTTGGTATGGTGGGGAGGGAATGATACACGAAATACTTCCTTCTTCTTCCTAAGGAAAAAACAGTCTAGTTGCCTTTTGGAAAAAAAGGACCTTTGAGACAACTATGACCAGGATGGTTGAGAATCTCCACAGACATTTTTGCAATGGTTTTATTTTGCAGTGTGGAAATTACTGCACCCATGGTAGCAATGTACCATCTCAAATGAGAAATTCAGTAATTCTGTCATTGCATAGTTACTGAATATTTATAGTTAGCAGAGATTATGTTTGTGTATTAATAATGTCATATTTAATTTTAAAATGTTGGGTTTAATAAAATTGGAATACCTTTCCTCTGTTTGAAATATGCACACAAGAAGAATTTATATGGCTTGCTTTTATATACCTGTAGAACTGATTTTTATGTAGTAAACAAGATACAAGAATATGTTATAATCTCATCATATTAATTAAGAAATTTAAGATTTTTTCTTACTTTCTAGGTCAACAACAAGGACAAGATGGAGGAGTGAAAGTACAGCAAGCAACAATAGCTCCTGTAACTGTAGCGGTTGGAGGTATAGCTAATGCAGCAATGGGTGCTGTTAGTCCTGATCAAATAACTCAAGTGCAGCTGCAACAAGCTCAGCAAGCATCTGATCAAGAAGTGCAGCCTGGCAAAAGATTAAGAAGAGTTGCTTGTTCATGCCCTAATTGTAGAGAAGGGGATGGAAGGTATTTGCCATAATTACTATTAAATATCAAATTTCTTAGGATCAAAGCTTTTATTCACCTTACATATTTCTGTTACATCTTTAATGACATTATTTTTATTAATGTAGCCCTTATTTGAAATGGTTTCTGACTTTAACTAATAGTAATTTTTATTTGATAGAAGCAGCAATGAACCAGGAAAAAAGAAACAACATATCTGCCATATTGAAGGCTGTGGTAAAGTATATGGGAAAACATCTCATCTCCGGGCACATCTTCGTTGGCATACAGGGGAAAGGCCATTTGTGTGCAATTGGATCTTCTGTGGGAAAAGATTTACAAGAAGTGATGAATTGCAGAGACATAGACGAACCCATACAGGTGAGTGAAGAGTTTAGACAAATATTTAAAAAATAAAATTTGTTTACATTTTAATGTTCTGGCATTTAAACTTCTATAACATTTGAATATGTTTCCTTCAGTCAGAACTTACTGATTAATTCTTCAGTGTCCTTACTGAGCTTAATTTTTTAGATTATTGGAAAGGGAAACTCATTTGAAATTGTATGAAGAGTACTCTTTGACTAGATGTACAAGATGTAAATTGGAAGCTAACTGAAAGAATACATATCTTAACCATTTAAAAAGTCACACTGAATCATGATTGCTTAATCATTGCATTTCTGTTTGAGAAGATGCTCAAAAAATGGTGGTGGACTAGCTGAAATAATCTTGTAGAAAACCAGTATTTTAGAACACACTTCAGTTAGACTCAAGATCTTCTTTTGGGATTGAATTGGCTATAATGAGTATCCTGTCCTAAGGAATAGAAATATTATAATTGCTTGATTTCTTGGTAATCTTTAACAATAATTATAACTGCTTTTAGTGCTATTGACTGATCATCCTTGTGAGTGAGAAGAAAAATGGTTTCACTCCTATTTGATTGTTGGTCACAGAGTAAAAAGTTTTGGCTTCTGGTAGTTGTATTGCATTGAAAATCACCATCTTATTTCTGATGCTCCTCAGATTATTTCTTAGGCAATTTGAAGAATAACGTCATCAGAATCCTCCTGAAATACTGCTTGGTTTGTAAGACTTATCTGAATCAGAACATAGCGACAAGCTCAGTAAAATCTAATTAGCATAAATAGATGCTGGTAACAGAATTTCTGTGCCTGGCAGTTCTAGATAAAGGATAGAGATAATTTCCTGTTCTGGATATTGAACTTTCTAGACATACAGGAATGGAACTGATGCTCATAGAATAAACATTTTACTGGAGGCCCAAGTTGCTCTGAGGGCAAACAGTATATTTTATGACTTGTAACAATGTTAGGAGCTGTGGTGATACATTTGTTAGAATGCAGTATTGCAGGCTAATTCTGCCCACAGCCTGGAGTTTGATCGTGACCGGCTCAAGGTTGACTCAGCCTTCCATCCTTCCAAGGTCAGTAAAATGAGAACCCAGATTGTGGGAGCAATATGCTGAAATTTGTAAACCGTTTAGAGAGTACTATAAAGCACTATGGAGTGGTACATTAGTCTAAGTATTTGCTATTAATAGTCTCATTTCTGTGTAACTATAATTACTCATTGAGTGATATCCTTGTGTACTGCATAGATGCTATTGTTAGTGAACAATGCAACAAAAAGATTACTATGCAGCACATATAGCTACAGTGAGGGAAAAAATTATTTGATCCCTTGCTGATTTTGCATGTTTGCCAACTGACAAAGAAATGATCAGTCTATAATTTTAATGGTAGGTTTATTTTAACAGTGAGAGATAGAATAACAGCAAAAAACCACAGAAAAACACATTTCAAAACAGTTATAAATTGATTTGCATTTTAATGAAGTATTTGATCCCTTCACAAAGCATGACTTAGTATTTGGTGGCAAAACCCTTGTTGTCAATCACAGAGGTCAGACATTTCTTGTAGCTGGCCACCAGGTTTGCACATATCTCAGGAAGGATTTGTCCCACTCCTCTTTGCAGATCCTCTCCAAATTATTAAGGTTTTGAGGCTGACATTTGACAGTTCAAACCTTCAGCTCCCTCCACAAATTTTCTATGGGATTAAGTTCTGGAGTCTGGGTAGGCCACTCCAGGACCTTAATGTGCTTCTTCTTGAGCCACTCCTTTGTTGCCTTGGCCGTGTATTTTGGGTCATTATTATGCTGGAATACCCATCAACAACCCATTTTCAATGCCTTGGCTGAGGGAAGGAGGTTCTCACCCAAGATTTGACAGTACATGGCCCCGTCCATCGTCCTTTTGATGCGGTGAAGTTGTCCTGTCGTCTTAGCAGAAAAACATTCCCAAAACATAATGTTTCCACCTCCATGTTTGATGATGGGGATGGTGTTCTTGGGTCGTAGGCAGCATTCCTCCTCCTCCAAACACGGTGAGTTTAGTTGATGCCAAAGAGCTCAATTTTGGTCTCATCTGACCACAACACTATCACCCAGATCTCCTCTGTATCATTCAGATGTTCATTGGCAAACTTCAGACAGGCCTGTAACATGCTTTCTTGAACAGGGGGACCTTGCAGGCGCTGTAGGATTTCAGTCCTTCACAGCGTAGTGTGTTATTAATTGTTTTCTTGGCAATTATGGTCCCAGCTGCCTTGAGATCATTGACAAGATCCTCCCGTGTAGTTCTGGGCTGATTTCTCACTGTTCTCATGATCATTGAAACTCCATGAGGTGAGATGTTGCATGGAGCCCCAGACCGAGGGAGATTGACAGTTATTTTCTGTTTCTTCCATTTGTGAATAATCACACCAGTTGTTATCACCTTCTCATCAAGCTGCTTGGCGATAGTCTTGTAGCCCATTCCAGCCTTGTGTAGGTCTACAATCTTGTCCCTGACATCCTTGGGTAGCTCTTTGGTCTTGGCCATGGCGGAGAGTGTGGAATCTGATTGATTGCTTCTATGGACAGGTGTCTTTTATATAGGTAACAAGCTGAGATTAGAAGCACTCCCTTTAAGAGACTGCTCCTAATCTCCGTTCATTACCCGTATAAAAGACACCTGGGAGCGAGAAATCTTGCTGATTGATAGGGATCCAATACTTTTTCACTCATTAAATGCAAATCAATGTATAATTTTTTTGAAATGTGTTTTTATGGATTTTTTTATTGTTATTCTGTCTTTTACTATTAAAATAAACCTACCATTAAAATTATAGACTGATCATTTCTTTATTAGTGGTCAAACATACAAAATCAACAAGGGATCAAATAATTTTTTCCCTCACTGTACATTGTACATTGCACTGGCTACTGATTATTAATAGGCTTGATTCAGATTTGAAATATACTGCTCAAAAAAATAAAGGGAACACAAACTTATAGGACGTCTTATTTTTGTGTTCCCTTTATTTTTGTGAGCAGTATATTAACCTAGAAGTATTTAAATGAGCTGGAGCCAGGATCCGCTTGAATTGTCTTCTTCTTATACATCTACTCAACTATTGCAATTATAATAATAATAGTAGTAGTAAAGTTGGAAGGGACCTTGGAGGTCATCTAGTCCAACCCCCTGCTCGGGCAGGAAACCCTACACCATTTCGGACAAATGGCTGTCCAGTCTCTTCTTAAAAACTTCCAGTGTTGGAGCATTTACTGCTTATGGAGGCAAGCTGTTCCACTGATTAATTGTTCTCACTGTCAGCAAGTTTCTCCTTAGTTCTAGGTTGCTTCTCTCCTTGATTAGTTTCCACCCGTTGCTTCTTGTCCTGCCTTCAGGTGCTTTGGAAAATAGCTTACTTCCCTCTTCTTTATGGCAGCCCCTGAGATATTGGAATACTGCTATCATGTCCCCCCTTGTCCTTCTCTTCGTTAAAATAGACATACCCAATTCTCGCAACCGTTCCTTATATGTTTTAGCCTCCAGTCCCCTAATCATCTTTGTTGCTCTTCTCTGTACTCTTTCTAGAGTCTCAACATCTTTTTTACATCGTGGTGACCAAAACTGGATGCAGTATTCAAAGTGTGGCCTTACCAAGGCATTGAAGAGTGGTATTAATACTTCACGTGATCTTGATTCTATCCCTCTGTTAATGCAGCCTAGCACTGTGTTGGCCTTTTTGGCAGCTGCAGCACACTGCTGGCCCATATTTAAGTGATTGTCTACTAGGACTCCGAGGTCCCTCTCACAGTTACTACTATTGAGCATGGTGCCACCTATGCTGTACTTGTGCATTTGGTTTTTCTTGCCTAAATGTAGAACCTTGCTTTTTTCACCATTGAATTTCATTTTGTTAGTTAGTGCCCAGTGTTCAAGTCTGTCCAGATCCTTCTGTATCTTAAGCCTGTCGTCTGGAGTGTTGGCTATTCCTGCCAGCTTGGTGTCGTCTGCAAATTTGATGAGTTCCCCATCTATCCCTTCATCCAAATCGTTGATGAAGATGTTGAAGAGCACTGGGCCCAGAACAGAGCACTGGGGCACCCCACTACACACTTCCCTCCATATAGATGTAGTTCCATTGAGGACCACTCGCTGAGTACGGCCGGTCAGCCAGCTACAGATCCATCTGGTGGTGATTCTGTCTACCCCACATTTTTCTATCTTATCAAGTAGTAGGTTGTGATCTACTTTATCAAATGCTTTACTGAAGTCCAAGTAAATTATGTCCACAGGATTCCTCTGATCCACTAATTTTGTCACTTGGTCAAAGAATGCAATAAGATTTGTCTGGCATGATCTATTTTTGACAAACCCATGTTGGCTTTTAGTAATGACTTTGTTTGCCTCTAGGTGTTTGTTGATTCATTGTTTGATTATCTTTTCCAGGATCTTCCCAGGCATTGAGGTCAGGATGATAGGTCTGTAATTTCCTAGATCCATTTTTTTTCCTTTTTTGAGGATGGGAACTACATCAGCTCTTTTCCAGTCCTCTGGTAGTTCCCCTGTGCTCCAGGATCTTTGAAAAATATAGTTGAGTGGCTCCGATATCACATCTGCCAGTTCCTTGAGAACTCTGGGGTGTAATCCATCTGGTCCTGGCGATTTGAACTCATCTAGGCTGGACAGGTTCTCCCTAACCATTTTCTTGCCTATCTTAACTTGTGTTTCTGTTTTGTTTTTTATGGCACTATTTTTGATAGGTTAGTCTGTTTTTTCCCTTTGTGTAAAGACAGATGCAAAAAATGAGTTAAATAGTTCTGCTTTCTCCCTGTTGCTTGTCACCTTCTTGCCACTTCCACTCACTAATGGACCAATCATTTCCTTCACTTTTTTCTTGTTTTTTACATGTTGAAAGAAGCTTTTTTTGCTATTTTTGACTTTGGTCACAAGCCTTAGTTCATTTTGAGCCTTGGCTTTCTTCACTTCATCTTTGCAGGCTCGGGCTATTTGCTGATATTCTGACTTAGTTATGTTCCCCTCTTTCCACTTTCTATACTTGTCCTTTTTATCTTTCAATTTGTCAGAGAGTTCTTTATGCAGCCATGCTGGTTTCTTTTGAGGCTTTCATGATTACACTATAAGATCTCTGTATTTCCTAAAGATGTAAACTGTACAACAATCAGGAATAATCTTTTTGTTGTATTAGTTGTGGGGCCTATATTTGAAAATGCTTTCACTCCATAAAAGAAACATTCAGTGCCTTTCATTTCAGTTAAATGCATGTAGAAGACATTTTATGTTTTGGTGTTGATATAGAGGATGTTCTTAATTTATGGTTACTTGGGTTCATTGTTGTATATGACAAACACTTTAGAAATACATAAATATAGAGTTACTTATGTTTTGAATTGGTCATAACTGTAAAGAAAAGGAAGAAAGGACCCAAAAAGGTCTAGCAAATTCTTCTGTTAAATGTATGCATATATATGTATACAAGTATTTCAGTTACTTAATTTCTTCTGTGTATTTCACTTTAAATATCAATACAAATATTTTCCATTGAGAATCTTTTGAATATATGTCTTAATACAGTAAACCTTCAATTTAATAAAACTATTTGGCAGACTTTATCATCTAAACTGAAAATCTTTGCAACAGACAACACCTACTAATCCTTATCCCCATCATTGCCAGCAATCATATCCCGGCAGCCCACATGTTTTCTGTTTTCTCCAGCATTTTCCTTTCCTCCCATCAAAAGCTCTAATTGGCTCTTTAAGCAGCACTTGGTTTTAACAGATACTTCTTTCTCCCATCAGATTATTACATTGAAGGTATACTTACAGAAAAAATTGTTAGTCATGGCACTGTACTACATTATGCATAGATGATTGCCCATGATGTTAATTTGAACATTTCTTGACAGGGGAGAAAAGATTTGAATGTCCAGAGTGTTCTAAAAGATTTATGCGAAGTGATCATCTCTCCAAGCATGTCAAAACACATCAGAACAAGAAGGGTGGAGGAACAGCCCTTGCTATTGTTACCTCAGGTGAATTGGACCCTTCAGTTACTGAGGTTCTTGGATCTCCAAGGATTGTTGCAGTAGCAGCCATTTCTCAAGATTCAAATCCAGCAACCCCAAATGTTTCAGCAAACATGGAGGAATTCTGAAATAATATTACATAGATGCCTAGAACTGCACTTAAGTTTACATACTTTTCAAGATAAAGAAGTGGGCTGATAAAAGTGTATAACAGAGCAGAATATCATGTATTCAGTCTTGATTACTATAAGTATTCCAAGCTGGAAAATTAGCATAGAAAGTGTACTTTGTACAATAAGACAACATTAAAAAAACAGAATCAATTCATAGAGATAAATTATGGATAAAACAGATTAGGAAAATATTATTCTCACACAGCACTGATTTCTGTAGCTCTGTATCGTATAAACAATTTTTAATTGGATTTATCGGATATAAATGTTTGTTGTAACAACAAACTATAAGAATATGCAACAGAATTGCTGCTGATTAAAGTTTTCCTTAAAAAATATATATAGTATTTTCATGGGAATTTACTTTGTCCAAAAGACACAAAAATGTGAAGTACTCTGGTGAAGATGAAAACTTTCTTCTTTGGGCCATCTTTATTCATTTGTTAAAAATCAGATGGCAGCATATGAAATGGATCTGAGGTACATCTCAGATAATTGTGGCCGCTACATTATAGTAGTGTATATAATGACAATCAGTAAACACAGATTATCCTCTTTCTAGGAGAGATGAGAGATCTAAAGAGCCAGTTTATTCTGCAGTAAATACTGAATTTTAGAAATATATTGACATAAAACTTTAATTAATTTCTATGTAAAAATTAAATTTGATAATATGTGTTAAAAATCTCGTATCTTAATTCATCCCATTTCATAACACAGGATCTATTGTTAAAAAGTGCTTAATCTCTGTTTTGAAGCCAGTAATTTAAATATTTAAATTTTATTCAACATTTGTTGATAATGGAAAGTAGAATGTTATAAGAATGTAGCATTTATGCACCATTTATAACATTTTTTTCAATAGCAAAAATTATGATAAATATACTGAAAAATTTAGAATTAATCAAACTAACCAAAGAAAAAATGAGCAACCAAAAGTATGACTCTGAAGTAATGATCTGTTACCTTTATTCCTTATGAAAAATATTGGCTGGGATCCAAAGAGCTAATTTTGGTTTGCTCAGGAGTTTCCAGCAAGTAAGAAGATTTCAACCTTTTCTTTCCTTTGAAAAATATCTTGTGCCACTTAACAAATTGTGGTGCCCTGGGTGCTTAGTTATTTGCTAATATACTAGGTAACATCCTCAATGATAGAAGGAGTGGTTCTGATCTCTGTTTATATACTGTAACTTGCCCTCTTAGTAGGGTTGAGTTGTGGTTTTCTCGTCGGTAGTCCCTTGATTAGCCTTTTGTATATTGCTTGATTGTTTGTCTGAGTTGGTACTCCCAATTAAGGTTTATAATAACCATTATGTAAGACAGAAGGCTAGCAGAATGCAGTTAATGATAGTTAGTTAGAAGACAAGATAAAAATTGCTTCATTTCATAATACATGGAGAGATTTAATCATGGTTTCAATGGGAAACTCTCACCATTCTAGACCAAACCAAATAAAAAAATGCTAGGGAATTCCTGGAAGTAAAGTAGGTACATAAGATAAACAGGTAGGATGTTTAGATGCATAAAGATAAACGACATTTAATTATCATTCAAAAAAGAATAAAAAAACTAAAAAGAAAACAAAAAAAATCAAAACATCTCTTCTCCAACAATCAATACCCAGGAAAACAGAGATTAATACCAGACAATCAAGCAGTAAATAACAGTATAGTCAAAGAACTACCAAGAAAAAAATGTCGTCCCCATCTATTTTAACAGGGCAAGTTGCTGCACAACTCATTCACTCACATCACTGAGATGTTATCTAGTCTGGTAGAGAAACGTCTGCTTAAGCAAACAATCAAGAGAGTACCAAGAACTCCACAATTCCAATGCTGAGTTATATGTATTCTCTTCTATTGATTTAACAGTTTGGATGCACAGAGTATTTTGCAAAAGTTTTTTGGAGTCTAGCAAATTTTTACATGTTTCCCTTTCTATGTCACAGAAACTAAACAAACCAGTGAACAGTGAAAAAATAATTATTTTCATTTTTCAGAAACAAAATATATTCTGAACATGTATGGAGGTGATGTGTCTCTAATGTGGGTTTTTTAAATAACAGTTCACTGAAAAATGGTAAAACCAAATGAAAATTGTTACAGATCCAGTTCTTTTTACTGATTGCTATTCATCCAATTTGGTTCCTTGGGAAGGAATACACATTTTGTCTATATATCGATTGTTAGCATCTAGATGAGCATATTGGTTTATGGACAGGAATCTTTATCTATCTTAATTGCATTGTGAATTTTTTTTCCTGTGCAACTATCTTTTGCTGCATTGTGACAATCGGAATGCAGAAAAAAATAATATGCTAAAAATACTTCAGGTTTTTAAACAATTTTGACATAAAATTATGTTTTGCAATCTACCCTGTTGAAAATTTCTCAAGAACACTTTTTACATTTTTATAATAAAATATTTGGGTGATATAACTTAAAAATACAATGCAGGCAATTAAAACTTTTCCTTTACCAATATACTTTGTGTTGGGAGCTGCTTGAAACTTCAAACAAACAACTTTTATAAACATATACAAGTTCCAGTTTTGTGACATTGCATGGGTTTTTTAAAGACAAAGATCTACTGATAGTTGCTTGTACTATGTACACTTTAGGAAAGCCCTGTGTAGTGACATATAAAGCTGAAAGTCTTTCATACTTTGAGCTCGCACATATAACAAAGAAACAATTTTACACTGTGGTAATAAATTTTAAATTTCTTATACCTTTTTGTAAAGATTGAACACACTTTAAATATTAGTTGGGATTTTTTTTCTATCATTTTGTATATCTTATTTAAAGTATTCTCAACTGATATATCTGGCTTTAAAACATCAAATTGACAATATATTTAATATAGATGGCCATTAGATAATACTAATTAATGTCTGCTGTAGATTAATTTCAACATCAAATGAATATTTAACATTATGCTTTACAATCAGTGCTAAAAATAGTTAAGCAAATGACATTTCCTAACAGAATCATGTTAATAGATCTTTAAAAAAAAACTTTATAAATTAAAAGATTGAGTACTCTGCACAATTGTTAAATATTCCTTTTGCATATTTAAGTATGCAGATACAAACTGAAAATTATTGTAATCTGTGGCAAGTATATCAAAATTTGTTTGGTATCACAAAATCTAATATAGATAAATTTGTTTTAGCAGGTGCACTTATTACTCCTGGAATTAAAAACATTTTGATAGTCTGTTCTGCATACCATTCTGAGTCCACTTTTCACTCTTAGAAGAATCGTAAATTTCAATGTCCTTTATTTGATTCAGTGAGATGTAACTGTTGTATGTGATAGAGCACAGATGTGCAGTAGTAGCTTGTTTAATGACATTTCACTGTACATCCCTTGGCCACCATTATGAAATTTTGCTTTATTGTGTTTACAAGTGCAAAGTATATTTATCATGATAGAATTCCATTGTTGGAATAGTTTTTTTTTTCTTTTTAATATGCTTTATTGGGATAGGATTGTGTACGTATTTTCTGATTACATTATAAATCGGTGTTACATCATTATTTATCACGTTTCATGAGAAAAGTAATAAAATACGTAAATTAGAAGAAAAAGTTTTTGTTAGGTAAGCATGATGTTTGAATCCTGTTTTTCAATTTTATAAATGTTTATTGCAGCAAAATTTGTATTTAAGTCTCCATTTTTGAAACCTTGTGATTTTTGTTAATGCATGTCACAATTGTCATCCCACAAAAATTGATGTGCAGCATAAGGTGTTAAATATACATGCTTATCTTGAAACAGAAATAGTTGATGGTCAAATTGTAAATGTTTTGCAAAAGAAAACCTCTTATAAAAATTTTGTAGTAATATTTCACTTGTAAATCTTTTGTAAGAAAAGAAGAAAAATAGAAGGAAAACCCATTCTAGAATCTACAAATTAATTCTGCCAACAAAGTCTTTAAGGCATTAATTTTTACTCTGCTGATTTGTATAAATTTTGTGTGTTTTTGTGGATTTGGAACTAAAACTGTGTAGATGTTGCCTGCAATAACACTGCAAGTAACTTATTAAATTCTTTTTGATTTACATGTATTTTATTTTAGAACTTTTATTATTTTCAATGTTTATATTTTACACATTAAGCCAAATTCATCATTTTGACGCACCTTTGGGATCAACTAGTATATGTAATAAAACGAAAAGCATCAACATGGAAATAAGTAAAAGGATACATTGTACCTGGAACACTAAAAACAGTAGACAATGTCATCAGACAATGGTATATTTATTTGTAGATACACATACACAAAACTATAAAGCATAAAGCAATGTAACAGCGGCAAAGTAGAACCAATAGAAAATATGTTGCTCTTCAGTATTTACATTTGTCCTGCGAGGGATTAAGGCACCAAAGTAGAAACCAGGAGTCCTGCTTTAGGCACAAGGGAAACTGGGTGACCTTTGGCCAATCACTTTCTCTCAATTTAAGAAGAAGGCAATTGAAAACTACTTGAAAACTCTTGACAAGAAAATTGCAGGAACTAGCATGTGTATGAGTGTGTATTACTTAAACAGAATTTGTTAATATATTTTGAAATATGACAGATAATATGAGTGAAAATGTATGTAAATGGCTGTCTATTCACAGAAGGCTGACTCCATTCCAGCCAGCCAATCATAACGAAATCTTAAGAAAATGTATTTTCCACATGTAGGAAAAGCCCATCTGTCAAAACCACATACATTAAAACCTTCATCATAAATACCAACATCTGGACTCTGTTTATAAAATACATATACATATATATATATATATATATATATATATATATATATATATATATATATATATATATATATATATATATATATATATATAGGACTCTGTTTATAAAATACATACATACATACATACATACATACATACATACATACATATATATAATTAATGAATTTTCAAATAATAACAGCCCGTCTTTTTCCATATCTGTTTCTTGAATCTGTGGACTACAATAGATCCCAGAAGATAAATCTATTTTTGTCAGTTCTTCGTAGACTGGGTTTCTGCTGTTTATTTTTGTTTTTAACCTGTTATGACAGACTTGAGAGACGACAGCAAAATATGGGGTTCTTTTCAGAACCACTGAGTCTGAATCAGCCTTCATAGGATTAGTAATCCTGCACTGAAAAAGGCTGCTGTGCAATGTCAGGCAATTCTCTCCCTAGGGTAGGACTTCATTATCTGGGCTTTGTCTTTTGTTCTTGTAGCCCCAATTCCTGGTTTCTATATCCCTTGAGTGGACACTCTGCCCATTATTATAAAGAACATAACTTCTCAACTTCACAAATGCTTGGCACAATACAGGAGAACAAACCTATTAGGATAGGATTCAGCATCTGCATTTGAAAGACAAAGGTCACTCTTTTGACGACAGCGAAGTTCACATTCTTGACAGGACCACAGATTTAAAAGGGGTCAAAGAGGCCATCTATGTTAAAATTAAACCAGCCCCTTTTCAACAGAAGGGGAGGGATATGACACCACTTCATGTTTATAACAGTCCTATCAACAGTACCAAGAATGTTCCAAATCTGTTTGCACTTTGATTCAGGTAATTTTGAGGATACAGATAAATCCCCAGGTTACCTCAACTACTCTCAGCTAACAACCAACCCTCAGAGTGCTAATGACCAGATGTTATTTTGTTATAATTTTTAGATATTACCTCAATGGTCATAAATGTGAAAATGGTCATGTTACTTTTTTAGTGCTGTTGCAACTTCGACAGTCACTAAATGAACTGTTGTAAGTTAAGGACTATCCGTATTCCATTTATTCATACCCATATTTTATTTCCATCATGTAAGATTCATATTATATTCAGCAGCCAACTTTCAAGCCCATGATCATACAAAGTAATTCATAATTCAAGCTTATATGTTTTCTCTAAACCAACAAATGTAAAATAATTTTTTTCACATTCCTATATTTATCAAAGACTTGCTGAAGAGCAAAAACAGGATCTGCTTACTCCCTGCCCATAATAAAACCATGCTGCCCCGCCCACATTTTGCTTATAACCACTTTTGCATCCTTTCAATCATAATTCTGCCAAATACCATCTCAGGCACATTTAACAAATCAAAATTGTATTGTAGTTTTTATTTCTTTTTGTATTGATGAACAATAGCAACATTCTTTAGCATTAACAAGCTAAATCACACAAGAACATTATAAGTATACTGTATACATATTTTAGAATTTTCCAATAGAGAAAAGCTCTCTACTGTAGCTGCACAATTTTTCAGGATTGTCATAAATGTAAGGACCCACCCCACTTTGCATCTTAAGAAGACAGAACTCTTGGAATAGCTCTTCCAACAGGAATCCTTTATTAAGAGAAAATGGTTGCAGGCATGCTAGACAGGACTTGGGGTTCAAGCTCTTCCATTCAAGGTTTTAAGGGGTTCCCCAGTAGTCCCACCCAATCAACCCCCCTTCCAGTGATAGTTTCAAGTATCACAATTCCATCCCCTTTCTTCTTCCGTCTGGATGGAGACTTCAGATAACTACATGAAAGGCAATTACTCTTCTTTGATATGTTAAAGCTTAGAGGCCACAATAAACACACATTCAGTCCTTTGAAGTGTGCTGAATGAAGTGAGGGCCATAAAGCCCCTTTGCTCTCCCCCTTTTCTCCCTCTTATGGCAGAATCCAGAGAAGTCAGAATTGGGAGTTTATATGTTTGATAATTAAAGATGAAATATAATTGGATTCTGACATCCGGCCCCTCTTAACAATAAGAGAGATCCACCTGAAAGAAAACACAAGTAAAAAATTTAGTTAGGCTTGTTAGGATACTCTGTGTGAAACTTCTTCAATAGCTTCGGGGCTCTGACGTGACGTTTATTGACCCACTCATTTTGTGAGGCAGGGAGGTGTTTCCAGGCAACTAGGTACTGAGTTGTTCCACGATATCTCCTAGAGTCAAGGATCTCTTTTATTTCGAAGTGTTGTTCCCCCTCAACCATGATTGGAGGTGGTGGGGGGGGGATTTTTGGCCGTAGAGGTGACTGATGCTCTCTTTTCAGCAAGCTGCAATGAAAAATTGGGTGTATTTGCCTGAGGTTTTGGGGTAATTCTAATTCTACTGTTACTGGATTTATGATCCTTTTAATTGGAAAAGGTCCTATATATTTTGGTCCAAGTTTTTTACAGGGCTGTAGGGACTTTAGGTATTTTGTAGATAAGTACACCATTTCTCCTATAATGAATGGGTAGGCTCAACCCTTTTTTTATCGGCTTGTGCTTTGTATGCCCGCCTAGCTTCATCTAGTGATTTTCTGACTATTGGCCAGGTGTTTTGTAGGTTTTCCATCCATTCTTTCAGTGAAGGGTTCGTTGGTTCTTTTGGGGTTAACTCTGGCATAGGGTTGAAACTTTGGCCGTTGGCTATTTGAAAAGGAGTGTAGCCTGTGCTGGAGTGGACTGCATTATTGTAGGCAACTTCTGCAAAAGGAAGTAAGTCCGTCCAATCACTCTGTTGGAAATTTAAAAAAACATCTCAAATATTGCTCAAGTACCGACTGGCAGCGTTCCGCTTGTCCATCTGTCTGAGGGTGATGGCTAGATGTCAGTCCCTGAGTGGTCCCTAAGAGGGATAAAAATTCCTTCCAAAATGTAGACGTAAATTGCACTCCCCTATCAGAGATGATGCGTTGGGGTGCCCCGTGCAATCTGTAAATGTGCTGGATAAAAAGTTTTGCTAAGGCCTTTGCAGTGGGAATTTTTTGGCAAGGGATAAAGTGCACCTGTTTGGAAAATAGGTCCGTGACTGTCCAGATAACAGTATTCCCATTGCTTTCAGGCAATTCCACTATAAAATCCATGGCTATTTCCCTCCAGGGGGCTGAGGGACTTGCCACTGGTTGTAACAGCCCTGGCGATTTCCCTTGCAACCTCTTTGCTGATGCACAGGTTGGGCAGCTGGCAACATAACTTTCTATGTCCTTTTTTATTGATGGCCACCAAAATTGCCGTTTAATTAAGTGTAAAGTTTTTACAAATCCAAAATGCCCTGCTGATTTTGTGTCATGGCAAAGTTGCATGAAAGTTAGTCTTTGAGTTGTTGGTATATATAACTTTTCCCCTACCCAAGGCAATCCGTCTCTCATTGTGCACACATGTTTGTTTTTCTGGAACCAATCATCTGTTTCCAAACTTTTTCTGAATTCAATCCCAGTTTGGCTGTCCAGTTGTGGTTTTATTTTGGCTTGGGTTCTTGTGGTTACTGGCGCTGCCAGTTGTGATTCTGCCATTATTGGTCTAGAGTCTGTGGTTCGTGCGCTGTTATATTGGGGCATGCGAGATAGTGCATCTGCCAGGAAGTTCTTTCTTCCTGGTAAATGTTTGAGCTTAAATTGGAATTGGTGAAAATGCTGGGACCAGCGGGCTTGTTTGGGATTGAGTTTCCTGGAAGTTTTCAGGGCTTCTAAATTTTTGTGATCAGTCCATACCTGGAAGGGGATTTTGTTGCCTTCCAGGAACTGTCGCCACGTGAGTAATGCCCAACGTATCCCATAAGCCTCCTTCTCCCATACGGGCCAGCGCTGTTCTGTTTCCGTGAGTTTCTTAGATGTATATGCACAGGGTTGCAATACTGCATCATCATTTTCTTGTAATAGCACAGCCCCCACTGCCACATCACTTGCATCTGCCTGTATTATGAAGGGCTTGTCCATATCTGGGTGCCTTAGTACTGGTTCGGCAGAAAAAAGTCTCTTTAGTCTCTCAAACGCTGCTTGGCACTCCATTGTCCATGTTAGTGGCTGGCTAGGTTTTACTGAGGATGTTCCCTTCGTTTTTAGTAAGTTAGTGAGGGGCAAGGCTATCTGTGCAAATGAGGGGATGAATTGGCGGTAAAAATTTGCAAAGCCCAGGAAACTTTGTAGTTGTTTTCTTGTGCGGGGTGGTGCCCATTCTAATACTGCTCTGACCTTCTCTGGGTCCATTTCAATGCCCTGTGGGGATATGCGATAGCCTAGGTAGTCTATCCTTTCCTGGTGGAATTCGCATTTTGAGAGTTTGGCA